CCCCCCCCCCCCCCCCCAAATAAAATCTTGACAGTCCTATACAAGAAGGGTTAATAACTGGGATGAGTCTCTGTTTGAAATAATTCTTAGTGATGTCTAGGGTCCATGTGTCATTTCTGCCTTTTGGTTTCGATACTTTATCATCCTCATTAATTATTCTTCTAGATACACATGGTTATTTTAAATGAAAGAGATATTCAAGATATGCACCGCCAATCATCTTTCATCCAGATACCTCGACAAACTAGGGTCGTTGAACATAAGAACGGTCTACTGTAGATTCTAATTCACCACCTCACTATTGGGTTGAAGTTCTCGTGAAATGTTTCCATTACAGCCTTGCATGTTTTGGTGTGTTTGTTTTGTTCACAACACAGCATCAGGGCTTGTTAAAATGTTTTTTGGTCTATTAAATATGCCATCCGTGCATATTTGGAACTTTGAAAAGGATGTCAGTGTTTTCCCCGACACTGAGGTGACATTTTGTCTCTACTGACGTCACTTTTATCGATTTTTCTTACCACATCTTCCTAATATTTTTTTTACTTTGTACATATTCCTAATCTATCTCCACAAAATAGTGATACCATTGAAACACCAATCTGCCCGAATAAACTTGACATCCAGCCCCACATTCCTTCCACACCAGCTTGCCCTTTACAAGTTTACCACTCTCATCCTCGTTCTAACCCTGCAGAGATTCCTATTGTTGCTCCTCCTATTTCCCCTATCACGGATCCAACACCACAGTAATTGGTTGCCCGAGAACCCGAGCTTACTCCTGCGCCTTCTCCTCATCACTTACCCATTTCTTAACAGGGTATATGTTTCGCTCTTAACCCACAGTCTATCTATAATCCTTAGTTATCATTGTGTTTCCACTTCTTGCTACCCATGGGACTTGGTAACTAAACATGCCAATGTTGACAGTCACTTTATTCAAGAGAAAGTTTTTTTGGACACAATGACACATGACACACTTCATTACAAGCTATGTTTATAGAGGACCAACTTGTTGATATTTTGATGGAGGCCTTAAGAGGAAGACGATGACGACAACAACAAACTTAAAATAAAATATATTTGTAACAATTTTCGTGCATATAAATTGTACACTCCAACTGAGGGAGTGTGAAATAGTGTTGTGAATAGCTCTAAAGTAGGAATTCTTGACACTTGACAAAAGAATTCTAGAAGCTTGAATTTTGAATGTCACCCTTGATGTCATTTGTGAGGCTGAGTAGACTTCTTTATCATGAATACCATTCTATTCCAAGAAGTACTAATTATCTTCTTTTCCTTTTGCAATCCTAAAGTTGGTTGTCCTACATAATGATGATACAACAACAAAGCCTTATACCACTATGTGTGGTCGGCTACATGGATCAAATGATGTCATTGCGCCCTGTCATTTATCATATCTGCAGCGAGATCATTCATGCATAGATCACCCTTGACCTTCATGCCAAGCTTTCTTAGGTCCACCCCTTCATCTAGCTACATGTATGCTCTATAGGTCTTCTCTCCCCATGTCCAAACCACCTAAGATGTGCTTCCACTATCTTTCAGCAATAGGTGCAACCGTGCAACTCCAACATTTGCTCTCATTTGGGGCCACATGCTTTTTTACCATCTTTGTGTGAGCCTCTGACTTTACGTGGTTTACATGGTGAGCCTCAGACCTTACATGGTCGGCATGGACACACCACTATAATTACGCTATCATCTGACCTCTTTTAGATTCAAATAATGTGACTCATTTCATCAGTTATGTTTTATGAGGATTTAGTTACTTTTAATCCAACCTTTCTGTCTTTCATAAGTTAGGGGTAAGCGCTGTTTGCTCCTACATTTTTCAGACTCCAATTATAGGGAAACTGAGGCTGTTGTTGTTGTCTTCATGTAGGCCATATGACCCTCTAACCAGATAATTATTGCCACTAAGCTGAAATTGGACTTTTATATTGAATAGTCCCTCTGTGCCTATACTAGTGCCCACTTTTTCACTTGTTACATCAATTTAAGATTTAAGAAGTTAAAATTGCGGTTGAAATTTATTTAGAAGAAAGAACAATATGAACTGCCTATTAGTTTCCTCTAAACAGTGAAATTATTTAAAAACCTGGTGAATTTCTAAATTGATATTGCTCAGGAAATCAGTATATTTTTATTACTAATTTGGCCATTGGTTTAGGCACTCGGATGTGGAGAAGAGGGGCTGATTCTGATGGTTATGTTGCAAATTTCGTGGAAAGTGAACAAATCATACAAATGAAAGGTTTTATAGCATCTTTTGTTCAGGTATACTTATATTTTTAGTTCTGACATAGTGTTAAATAATGTTGAAATCATGCTCTTTGCATTGGATTAAAAGTACTCGGTAATAAAGAAATAGTTGATCAGTACTCCGTATTATTTTCATTAAAATACAATTGGTAGTAGGCTAGCAGCTGGATTATTCTCCACATGGTTTGTCTTATAGTTTTTATATTGGTAATCGAGTTTAGAATATTGTACTGTTTCTTTTCACTTTACCAATGAAACAACATTTGAACAATTTAGCCATTTCGCTTTTTCACAAGTAACGAGCTTTTCCGAGAAAAAGAAATTAGCCTGGTTTGCATATGGGCTTTCTAAGTCTAGAAGGTGCAGGTGTGCTACACTGTCAGTTAAAGCATTTTATTGAGGGTAATGGTGAGTATGTGACGACATATCAACCACTAAACCCTAGTTAGTAGCTCCTGACTGATTGTCTGTTGCAAAAGATAAAAAATAAAACTGCATGTAGTTCATTACATGTAACTACTCTGTACTATATTTTTACTTTCAGGAAAGAATGTGTTTTTACTTCACCTTTCTTTTAAAATTGAAATTCTCTAAAAATCATTGCTAGTTTAAACTTTCAAGCATATGTGCGTGTGTGAGCATGCATGCATAGAGAGAGGTTTGTATACATCAATACAGCCACCAGTCTTGCATACATTATCTGTTGGGCGGTGCTCCTTGGACCACACGGCAAGAAGGAGAGCAAATCCCATTCTAAGTGGGATTGCTCTTGATTTGTTTCCTTGTTCATATTTAGTGATTTGTTTCCTTGTAGGAATAGAATTCCTTTTGTGTTTTGGTCTTTATCCTCTCCTATAAATAAAGGAGAAACTCCTTGTACTTAGGAGAACAATTCAATATACAGAATATTTTTTCCCTCTTATCAAATTCTACATGGTATCAGAGCAAGATTCCTAGGGAAAAACCCTAATCTAGACATACGACGGTCCATCACCGTCCTCCGCCGGTTCAAGCCTGTCTTCCGCCGGATCACCGACATCGACCGCCGGACTATCCTCCTCGACCGTCGACATGGCAGAAGTAGAAGAAAATCTCATCGGCAAGCTTTTCAATGAGGAAGAAAAAATCCCTACGAAGGGAAGTTCTTACGAACTCAAGAACGCAGACACACCTGGATTAATTATCACCCAAGTCAAACTAAACGGTGATAATTATGAAGAATGGGCTCGTGCAATGAGAATTGCATTCCGTGCAAAACGGAAAATTGGATTCATCGACGGATCCATCCCTTGTCCAGAAGAAGGAGATGAAAACTATGAAGAATGGTGGATTGTGAATGCCATGTTGGTCTCATGGATTTACAACACAATTGATGGCAGCCTGAGAAACTCCATCACACAGGTAGAAGAAGCAGCAGAACTATGG